AATGTCTTTTGGCTACGGGTTCCTCTGATGATTCTACCCTGATTGATGATGATGAGGACGAGGTTTCTCCGGATGGATTCATGGCGTCAGGCATATGATCGGCTTGTGGCATACCAAACAGAGTAACCAACAATCGAGCTGGTGGCCCCTTTCGATGGATATCTTTTCGGGTCAGTTTGGTCCAGTTCTCCCAAACCTCATCTGAAAAATTGCCATCTTGATTTCGGTGGATTCCCATGGTCATGCGATGTGTGGCATTTTGTCTAGTGATCCCATCACATGGAGGTCTGTACCGATCAGCACCCTTGCAGGCTTCTATAGCCTTCACTTGAATACCAGGAAAAAGGTTTTGGGCTTGTTCCAAAATGGGGCCCTCACGAAAAACACGCTTTCCTACTTTGGGAGCCTGTTCCAGGGTCAACTGCAAGAAGCTGTTTCTCTTCTGCTCATGTTCTTGTCGCTGATAAAACGGTGGAGGATTCTGTTTTCCCAAAATCTTTTGGCGTTTTGGTTCAGGTGTTTCAAAAGATTCAGGTTCATGACCTGTGAGAGCATCTTCTTGGTCCGAGGCATGCTTCTCTCGAATTTGGCCAATGCATTGAAGACAGCGGGCAACTTTCCTGGCAAAAACTCTCGTGTAGAGTTCCGTGTATTGGGACACATTCATACGGCCTAAGTCTGGATGATGGAATGAACCCTCAACTGAATCATGTTCATGGTCACGGGAACATCTCATGGATTCAATGACATGTTTCATAATTTGGGAAGTCGTAATGATTTGGGTTCCCTTTTTCAGCAGTTTGCCGGAAATCGGATGCTTCAGCTGACCTGCACGGCACATGTCGCAGACGGCTCTCCAGCCATGGTTGACAATGGCTGACATTTCCTCTTGATAAATCATTTGGGATCCCTGCGGTTGTTCCAAGTGAACATGGCATTGTGGACTTCGCCACAGCTGGAATTGGAACAAAGCATCACACAAGAGCAGGTGAACACGGTCATCTTCTCGAGCTTGAAAAATGCGTTGGGCAGTTTCAGGGCTTTTGGACATGTTAAAAATGTTCCATCGACACCATGCTCTGCATTTTGGGGATAACCAAATGTTCCGAGGCAGAATTCTCAGCAGGCGTTCGTACAGCCGTCGTCGGCCTTCCATGGTGGCCAGATCTCCATCTTGCAAACAAAATCTCTCAGCATGTAAACCTAGCTGTCGGGCCTGCTTAGTCAATTCACTGTCGGAGCTGCAATAAATTTCCATGACATCGGATAAGTTCTTGGCATACCTTTGAGGATTCTTGAGCACTCCTTGTTGAGAAAAGAAATTCCACATTTCACGGGCCACCCAATTATCTTCCCTGGTGAGTAGAATGCTTTCCCTAACTCCTACTTCTGACATTGGGTCAAACACTTGTGAAGGTTCAGCCAATGTTTGCCATACACCACAGAGATCGGCTACCTGATGTTTTGTCATCAGGCCATGGAGTGAGGCTGAGCATTTGGATTCAGGTGGCTCAGGATCTGCTGCAGCACGGACTCCATCTCGGTCATGCGTTCGTTCATGTGATTGATCTCTTCGGCATGGACCACTGGCTCCCAAGGCATGCTCTCGATTTCCTCGTCGGAGCTGGGGTGCCATGGGTCGTGAGGCAACTCGGGGTGGTCCCGGGCATGAGGTGTTGCATGATTGGAGGCCTTTGGCTTGGCCTTGGCTTTGGCATGAGATTTGGGTCGAGTTTGGTTCTTCTGGTTCTCCACATAGTCCAGGTGCAGCTCGATGAAGCGGAGGAACTTCATGTGGCAGATCTTCTGGCTGTGGCGGTAATTTTCTGCAAACCATGTCAGATAACGATCTTCGTTCACCATCTCCTTGAAGAGCTTGTTCATATGGGCTTTTCCAAACTCGATGCGACACTCTCGAAGTTCTTCCAAGCTCATCTCCATCACTTGCTCCACGGCCTCCGAACTGGCCTGATTGTCCAGTTGAAGACGGCGAAGGCGATCTGCCAGCTGATCGAACTGACCGCCGGTCGACATGACTATCAAAACCAACTCGTTCGTGCTGAGCGATCTGATCTTTGAGCCGGGATTGCTCGGCTCTGGAAAATGGTTCGGCTGCATCAGGGTCAAAACTTACGGTAAGCGGCTTCGAAACAGCAGTGATGGGGCTTTCCTGAATTGGATTGACATGTTCTACCGTTTGAAAGGCTGCTGCTTTCGTTTCTTCCGACATTGAGACATGATTCTGGCAGAGTCCTTTTGTGCTACTGACTGGAGCGGCCAAAAGATCCATCATGTCAAGACGATACAGCTTCCGCTCATTGAGCACGATTGGAATTGCTCGGTCCAGCTTCTTGAAAAAAATCTGGCTGCTATCCGTGTCTATGACTGCACCTAGAGATCTGAAAACACTGTTGGCAATGAGAAATGGCGTATTGAGGGAACCACAATCACTTTCATCCAAAACGGACCGATGGGAAAGAACACGGCTTTCTTTCCAGTGACCATGCTATTGTTGCCAAATCTAAAGCTCACATTGCAAGGGGCTTCTTTGAGCCGCCCTCGGATCTCAGCAGGGAGGGAATGACACAGATCTGAAAACTGACGCTGGCCTATGACTGACATGCTGGCTCCTAAATCAACAATCCCTGACGACCCATGTGAGACAAAAAACGAACTCTCAGGTAAGTCCTCATCTGTCTTGGGACCCAGGGGGTCAGGTCTCGGTGATGTGCTGCCATGTTGTGGCGGAATAATCTTGGTCGGCCTGACAATGGCGCGCAGTCTGGTGACGAGGTCAGGTCGAATTTTCATGATTTGGGATTGAACATGGTCTTGGTTCCAGCTATTGCGGATTTTGGCTGGTGGGAAACAAATACCGGGTCTACTCAAAAGGGATGAATTTCTGGTTCGAACCTCTTCCACAGTGAACGCCACGGCATTCTCAGGCAGTTCAGTCACTAAGTCACCATCAGGCTCAATCGGATCGCCATCAGTGGCCAGGGACACTCCGGCAAAGGCAGCGGGTGCGCCGGATGCTGGTGCAGCGGCATTTGAACCTGCCTTGAACCTTTGTGGACATTCTGCTTTCCAATGCCCCTTTTGATGGCATATCCTGCATGTGCTTTCCAGTATTCGTTGGGCTAGAGGCTTTCTGAACTGAGACCGGAAACCACCCTTGAATTTTCCTTTACCTTTCCCTTTGTTGTTCTTTGAGGGACCCCAAAATCCACGTCCTTTGGCTTTGTCAAGGAGGCGCTTTCTCGCATCCACATAGGCATTCAAACAGGATGCTACATCAGGATCAGATTGCAGTGAATCCAGAATTGCATCTTCAAATTGCTGGATAACCAAAGCATCTTCGTCTCCTTCAGCCATCATGATGTCAAATGCAGTTTCTTCAGAAACCTCGGAGGCCAAGAAGACATTCTCATCTCCATCATCAACATCTTGTTCCTGTTCGTCTATCATGTTTGCATCATAAGTCTTGGTGCGAGTCTGGTTTTTGCTGGAACCCTGTTGAACCTCTCCAAAAAAATTTGGAACCCAACAATTGCAGTGCTGCCGTCACTTTGGTGTACTCAAGTTCACCGTTTGCGTCCATGATGACCTTCTTCTTATCATCAGCAGACAAACCTGAGTTTCGAAGTAAGATGTAGGCCCTCATCTCCTCCAAGGTGGCACCCATGCTAATCAAATCTTCATATTGCACTTCATGTCGGGCCAAATAGCTGGCATGAGTTTCATCTGCCTTTTGAATCGTTCCAAAAATTGCACGTTCAAACCTTTCGTACTTCTTTTCCAGTCGAGATTGCCCCCAGACTCCCCCAAGGGTCTTCACGACCAGCTTCACACCATCTGTGGTACCGACTCGAAGCTTCTCCGGATCCAGACGCACTACCTTTGCAAAGGCTGTGCCTTCGCACAACATGCAAGCTCGAGGAGCGAGCTGAGGCAAATGTTCTGGGGGCCAGATATTGGCAAGAAACTCCAGTCGTCTCGTGTACTCATTTATCTCGGTCTCTCCCGGCTTAAATGAAGGTATCAAGTGCCATGGGAGAAATGAATTCCCTGTGGAACCTCCAGTCGCAGTCGATCCACCGCCATTGGAAAGTTCCATATTACCTGGATCCACTCACTTTCGCAGCAAGCAACCAGGCTGGCAGCGGTGAGCCCTCTGGCTCCGCTACCAGTGTTGAACTGGTAACGGGCCTTTAAACCAAATCTTCCACCTTGACCACCTGATCAGAAGTCCTTGACCACAAGGATAGGTAATGGATTCCCTGTCCAAACTTGTTACACTTCTCGATTTAGTGGCGTCCCTGGCCAACACCCATGAAGCGGCGAACCACGCCCTTTTGCACACACCGTGACCCCCTGAGTCTTCCTGAGCCTATATGGATATGCGACAGCACGGCCAAGGCATCGAAGCATGCATGTTTGGAGATGGATGTCTGGAAAAACACAGAATATATATATAGAATATATATATAGAATATATATATATAGAATATATATATAGAATATATATATATATAGAATATATATATATTATATACAATATTATGTACACATAATATATATATAGAATATATATATAGAATATATATATAGAATATATATATAGAATATATATATAGAATATATATATATATAGAATATATATATATATATATATGTAGAATATATATATAGAATATATATATAGAATATATATATATAGAATATATATATATAGAATATATATACAGAATATATATATATATATATTATATACAATATTATGTACACATAATATATATATAGAATATATATATATAGAATATATATATATAGAATATATATATATATATAGAATATATACACACAATATTATGTACACATAATATATATATACATGTATTTATACACATAGTTTTCTTCATTTTGGGGTCCATTCTTGTGGAGGGGGAAGTGATGATGTGCAAGTCCCTGATTCGTGGCCACGGACTCCCCCGCCCCAGGCTACTTTGCCAGGTGTGGCAGCGTCGATGGGGATTGATCAACCAGGAGATTTTCTGATTGGAAAAATAGGTTTTTAAGTTTGTATGGGATAAAATAGAACTTGTTCTAACCAATATTTCAGGGATAGAAACCCCAAAACAGGATTTAATAGCCAAAAAGACTCAGAAAAGGTTCAACTTTGCCATTATTTTAGTGATTTTAGTGTAGGATTTGTCTTTTCCGCATCCTTTGGGAAGTTGCTATAACTGGGATATGAGCAACATGCAAGGGATAACCACCAATCCGTTTCCACGGCTTGGGCGACTGCTGGGATCCACTGTGGTGACATGTCCTGGTGACGAATATATTGATGTGTACTTATCCCCATAGCCCAGAATCAATCGAGACGTTGGCATATCAAATTTAGGTCCAGTAGCTGTTGGTCATATATCCCCAAAAAACATCATTAGATCCATATCAAATCCGGTCAAACAGGGTGGAGGCTCCACACTTTTCCCACCTGTCTGTTGGGGTCTGTTGGGTCCCCTGACAGGGCCATGCTTTGTGCCGGCAAAAACGCCAGCGCCTGGGCGGAAGTTGTTGTTCTTTGGCATTTTCAGAGAACCTGACGTGGTGTACTGGAATGAGGGACTAGAGGAAACCATACAATGGCTAGTTTAGATGTACAGCAATGGGAATATAACTGAAATATACTGGAATTATAGGAATTATATGTATATATATAATTATATAATATCTAAGAATATGATGTGGGTTGATCCAAGAATAAATGACATCCAAAAATGTCAACTGTAATTGGGAAAATTATGATACAACATGGGGTTTTGGGACGACCCCATTTTTTTCGTCCGGACATGTCCGGTAGGTGATTTTGTGATTTTCGTAGAACACATGGAGGCTTTTCCATGGCCATGTTTGAACATGTAAGGTTTCTAATTCATCCACTCTTGGCAGATCAAGAATTGGGCAATGCCGGGCCTTTCCAGCACTTTTGTGGCTTTCTGTGGCTTTTTGTGGCTAACCATCCCCAGATGTTCAGCACTTTGTTTTGGGGTTGAGGCGACTTCGCCATCTGGCTTTTTGAGAGCCACAAGGCCGAGCACCAGAAGCAGCTGGCTGCAGGCAGGGCAGGTCATAACGTGACTGGACCCATCAAGCTGCGAAAAAGGGGTCATGTGTAGCGATTTGTAGGATCTGACACCATCCCATTTTTGATCATTTTTGGGAGGTTTCCCCTAAGTGGGGGGCAAAACCAACAAAAGGCAAAGGGGGACAACGATGTTTGCGTTTGTAGATTTAAAGGTTTTTCGAGTTGTTTTTTTCATTCGTTGGATTTTACCAATTTGTTCTGCTACTTTTTCCATATATTGGGAAAGATCATCCCAACTGACGAACTCATATTTTTCAGAGGGATAGGTATACCACCAGCCAGAAATGTTATCAAATGTTGGGATGTGAATGATAACAACGCAATTTTTCTGCATTTTTTTCCTTCACCATGCTCTGTTGAGTGCCTCAACGCATTCAGGTCCATCCCTGTTCCGACTTACTTGCGCCATTAAAGGTTACCTTGTTGATTGGTTGATATAGGGGGGTTTACCCTCGGGTAAACGTTTACATAACTATGGAAAATCACCATTTTTCATGGGAAAACTCACTATTTCTATGGCCATTTTCGATAGCAAACTGTTAGTTTACCAGAGGGTATACCAACTGGTTTATTGGGGATCATGAACTAACCCATCATAGGGATATCCATTTGCCGACCAGTGTAATGACCAATGGGTCGGTGAAAAAAAGTACATCCTGCTGCATGATCGGGGACTCATGAAAGTATCGCCACCAATACCAATAGCTTATTTGGGGGTGAATCCCAGTTAGTAAGGGGTTTATAGCGCATATATGTATATATATACATATATATATATTTATATATATATATGTATATATATACATATATGTATATATATACATACATATACACATATATATAGTCCATATAACTGTAAACGGTGATATTTCCATATATAACCGGCATCTACTTGGGATGAGCATCTCCCGGATTCTCCCGCACACAGCAATTTATAGCTGGCAAACGGATGTTCATCCCCTGGTTCAAATAGGAAAACATAGGTCTTGACCTCTCAACAATTCTCGCCGCCACCAGAGCTTTGCGAATATTTTTTGTCTGCTAGGTACTTGGTGTATCCTGCTTCCTTAGGAGTATAAACCTGGTCGTCCTCGTGTGGCTGGGGAAATCTACTTGTAGAATGAGGCAAACCCAATGCTTCGATCATAAAACCATCCACAAATGGGGTTGATGCTAGTAACGGGATGATGTTTCTCATGACCTCCTTTTATGATTGGCTACTGGGATGGTGGCTCACTGTATTTGATATTCGGGAGATGAGATGATACAACCTCGATAGACCCATTGGAAAATTCACGAAAATTCCGTTTTTCATGATTTAATCCTGTTTTCTGCTGCTCGACTCTGAACCCTGCTTTTGATAAATCACGGCTCTTTTCATCATGTTTCATCCATGTAGCAGCGGATGGATCAGCAAAGCGGTTTTCTATTTTCCAATCGTTTTTTTTCTTTTTTTCGCCATGACTAGCCCATATATCTAACAATGATTAGCCATTATTCACGAAGATGTAACATTGTGTAACCATTGTTACTACCCATAATAAATCATGATTAACCATTTGCTGGTCATGATAGACTACTCTTTACAATCATTATTTGCAATTGTGAACACATTATATATTATTATTATTATTATTATTTTGAATCCTAGGCAAACCATGAATCACCACAATTAGCTATTAACATTCATTCTGATGAATATTAGATGTTATAGATGTTATATTTTAGATGTTATGTTATAATCTACCACGATAGATCTTATCTGGTTGGTGGTTTGGAACATTTTTTATTTTCCATAATATATGTGATGTCATCCTTCCCATTGACTTTCATATTTTTGAAGATGGTTAAAACCACTAACCAGATAGGGTTTTCAAGTCATCTTACTATGAATAACTGAATATATAGATTATAACATCATACCATTATAGATTATAACATCATTTATAATAGATAATAATGGATCTTATAATCTACCACAATTTGCCATCATTTCATCTCCACTTCTCCAGGCGCAGCGGCACCGCGGCGTCCCGCGGAGGGCCTTTGATGGCGTGGCCGAGCGCCTTGGCGTAGACGGTCTTCCATCGCTAGGAATTCATGGGGATTTCACCATGAAACATGGGAATTTATAACGGTGAATAATGATTAATGATGGTTATATAATCATGTTTAATAATCTTTAATAATGGTTAACAATGGTTAATTCTTAATGATGGTTAATGGTTATATAATGGTTAATGATGCTTAATGATGGTTAGTAAATGGTTAATAATGGTTATGATGCTTAATGATGGTTAGTAATGGTTAACAATGGTTAATGATGCTTAATGATGGTTAGTAATGGTTAATAATGGTTAATGATGCTTAATGATGGTTAGTAATGGTTAATAATGGTTAATGATGCTTAATGATGGTTAGTAATGGTTAATAATGGTTAATGATGCTTAATGATGGTTAGTAATGGTTAATAATGGTTAATGATGCTTAATGATGGTTAGTAATGGTTAATAATGGTTAATGATGCTTAATGATGGTTAGTAATGGTTAATAATGGTTAATGATGCTTAATGATGGTTAGTAATGGTTAATAATGGTTAATGATGCTTAATGATGGTTAGTAATGGTTAATAATGGTTAATGATGCTTAATGATGGTTAGTAATGGTTAATAATGGTTAATGATGCTTAATGATGGTTAGTAATGGTTAATAATGGTTAATGATGCTTAATGATGGTTAGTAATGGTTAATAATGGTTAATGATGCTTAATGATGGTTAGTAATGGTTAATAATGGTTTAATGATGCTTTAATGATGTTAATGATGGTTATAGTCAATGGTTATTAATTAATGGTTTTAATGATGATGCTTTTATATGAGGTTAGTATGGTAATAATGGTTAATGATTGCTTAAATGATGGTTAGTAATGTTAATAATGGTTAATGATTGCGTATGATGGTTTAGTAATGGTTAATAATGGTTAATGATGCTTAATGATGGTTTAGTATTATAGTAATGGTTAATAATGGTTAAGATGCTTAATGATGGTTATTAGTTAATGGTAATAATGTTAAATGATGCTTAAGATGGTTTAGTACTGGTTAATTAAATGGGTTTTAATGATTGCTTAATGCGGTTATTAGTAAATGGTTAATAATGGTTAATGATGCTTAATGATGGTTAGTAATGGTTAATAATGGTTAATGATGCTTAATGATGGTTAGTAATGGTTAATAATGGTTAATGATGCTTAATGATGGTTAGTAATGGTTAATAATGGTTAATGATGCTTAATGATGGTTAGTAATGGTTAATAATGGTTAATGATGCTTAATGATGGTTAGTAATGGTTAATAATGGTTAATGATGCTTAATGATGGTTAGTAATGGTTAATAATGGTTAATGATGCTTAATGATGGTTAGTAATGGTTAATAATGGTTAATGATGCTTAATGATGGTTAGTAATGGTTAATAATGGTTAATGATGCTTAATGATGGTTAGTAATGGTTAATAATGGTTAATGATGCTTAATGATGGTTAGTAATGGTTAATAATGGTTAATGATGCTTAATGATGGTTAGTAATGGTTAATAATGTTTCAACAAATGCTGATTGAACCATGAAAAAAGGGGGATCAATCCCACAGGGATGGGATTTTTGATCAAACACGGGGGAGTTTCACAAAAAGTTTGGTAGACGAAACCATTAGGTAGGGATGACACAGTGAAACGATGCATATGGGCTGCTCATATATATATATATATATGTTCTGGTTTTGTGGTTTGGAACATTTTTTTATTTTCCCGTATATTGGGAATTTCATAACCCCAACTGACGAACTCATATTTTTCAGAGGGGTGGCTCAACCACCAACCAGTATATATATATATATACACCAATATATATATATATATGTATGTCTTCATACCTGTATAACCTCCCCTCAATGTGAACCCAGTAGTTCGGTGGATATCTTGGACAAATCGAATCCAAATGTCGCGGGGAGCCCACCTGGCCGACTGGGCCACTGGGGTCCATTTGAATCTTTGAAACCCTTTGGAAACCTATCTTCAGAAGGGAACATTTATGGGAAACCCTTATGAAGATAGCCTATATAACTGTACAGGAAAACATATTTATGGGAAACATCCTATTTATGGGATATCCTATTTATATATCATTTATGTTGGCTGGTAAGAAACATGCTTTCTGGAAAACACTTTTCCTGAAACACTCGCAGTGAAAGTACCCCATTTGTATCCACTTGTGGACGATCTTTACATCAAAAGCTGATTCAAACAACAGTCAGGTTTGGTAAACGGAGGTATTGATGGAAACAACTTATTAACCATCATTAACCATCATTAACCATCATTAACCATCATTAACCATCATTAACCATCATTAACCATTATTGATTATCATCATCCTGTGTCATCAACCATGGCTTGCTGGAAACTCCCCCGAGCGGCTAGATGGCGGGGATCCACGGTTGGATTTCCCAAAAAAACCATGGCATCATGGTGCTGATGACTCCAGGTTGTGTTATCGTTGATCAAAATGCCATTGTTGTATCAGCTATACTAATATTAGTACTATACTTAATATTCATAGTACATCTGCTCATTGTCCATGAAATTCATATACTGAATCAATAGGGTTCATATTCCATTCTATCATATTATATCATCATATCCCCATTCTCTTCACCATTCGCACAAGACGTACGACAGCGTCAGGTTTCTACCTTTGCTGGTAGCCGTCACTCCGGCCTTAGTATATCAACTCGCAGGTGCGATGGGCAAAAAAAACCCTGCAGGATGGCCCCCCCCAAGTGATGTGAACGTTGGTTTATAAACCATTATAACCCCCATTGGCTAGTTTGTTAAATCTACCATCAACTCTAGACTTCAGCCACTTTTTTCAGGCAACTGGACGCTATCTTGGGGGGCCCATCCTGTGGTGATTTGTAACACTTGGCAAAGTGGAAAATTGATGAACAATGGCCCACGAAAATAGAGGTTCCATTTTTGTTGGTGATTTTTTTCATTGGCACTTGCTTCACTTGCTTCCACCTTCATTTTGAGGGAGGATTGATATCCTGAAAATAGATGATTTGCCTGTTAAAGATGGCGATCTTCAATAGCCATGGCACAAATTGCTGGAGGGCAGAGGTTTTGGATGGGGGTATGACGATTGACTGACTAGCAACCCTCAAAAAGATGTAGAAATTCGTAAAATCCGAGACTCGATTTTCGTAATACATTGAACCTTTTCCGAATCTTTTCTTGAATTACTATAACTTAGAACCAATACTTAGTGAGGTTGAGAACTGTTGAGACTATAGCTAGTTCTCCGGTTTCAGGTTTCAAGATCTCCAGAGATCCGTTTCTCTGGTAGCTCCATTTTTCAAAGGCTTCACAGCTCCGTTCCATCATCCCGCCTCGGCATTTCTAGGGTCCACAGGATCCCTTGCAGCGATTTGCTGCTCAGGAGAAGCAAAGGATCCAGGTGTTCCACGGAGGAAAGACGTTGCTTGGCTGGACAAAAGAGAATCTGGGTAGGTGAGAATGTTGGATATGGCTAATGACTGGTTGGTGGTTTCAAACATTTCTTATTTTCCATTTCATATATGGGATGTCATCCTTCCCATTGACTAATAGTTTTCAAGATGGTTAAAACCACCAACCAGATGGTTTTGGCCTTTCCAGGTCAGTTTTTAGCACATGGACAGCCACAACAGTTTCCAGCAAGATGTTCATTGTCAAGACTTCCTGGACGGACTGCTTTGTCTTTGGGTCCACCTGAAACACTGGATGAACTGACGTACCAACTCACTAACTAACTAACTAACTAGCTAGCTAGCTAGCTAGCTAGCTAGCTAGCTAACTAGCTAACTAGCTAACTAGCTAACTAGCTAACTAGCTAACTAGCTAACTAGCTACCTATCCAGCTAACTATCCAGCTAACTATCCAGCTAACTATCCAACTAACTATCCAACTAACTATCAAACAAACTATCCAACTAACTATCCAACTAACTAACTAACCCCATCCCCCTAATATTAAAGACCTCATTAGAAACCATGGTTTCATAGGGAATTTCTGCCGCCAAGGTGAAGCCCTGGAGCGAAGTGATGGAACTCTTGACCTCCGATGTTCTCACCAGGCGACCGGCAGCCGATGATAGAACCAGTTGTAGAGGACCAGCCAATAGATTCTATATTTCTATATATATATATACAGTTATAGTTATGTATATAGTTATATATATATGTATATATGTATATACACACTACATTGATCTATATTGCACATAAAGATTGGGATACAAAAAGATTGGGATACAAAGTCGTGACATAGATCTTGATCATGTTGACCCCCCACCCGCGGCCAGGATCCGCAAGCCCTTGGTGTTCCTGAATCTGATCTCTGCGGTGCCCCGACTGGAAAGCCTTGATTTTTCATGGCCAAAAAAAGCAGGTTGGAGGATGGTGAACATTTCATGGTTTGATTTCACCATTCAACCATGTCTGGTTGGAAATGTTTGTTTTCATGGCAAAACCAGACATTTCATGGTTTGATTTCAGCTATGGACACTGGATGAACATGGCCCGTTTGTAGATGACATACCTATTAAACATGGTGATTTTTAATATCAATGTTAAATTTGCTAGTTCTATTTGGGCTCCCGCAGTTGTCCATGGGCCGTTATGGAATCAGACCAGAATGAGGACAGCCCCTGAACCGTGCCTGCCCATGGACAATTTCCTAGTCAAATTGACTATAGATCATTTCTCTAAGAAAAGTTGGGATAGGTTAAACCAGTTAAACCATACTTTAAAAGAATACCTTAGATCTATCTTAGATTATATATATATCTATATCTATATCTATATCTCTATATATATAGATATATAGATTCCTTTTTTGCATTGCTAGGTTAAACTACCAAAGGGTGATGTCAAAGGATCCCCAGCATGTTGTGAAGGCTGGTGACATGTCCATTGGTGGTGCCTGAAGGACGGATGGGTTTATACACCCACAAACTAATATCGGGGGCAAGTGAAATCACTATGTAGATTGTTCATTCCCAATTTCATGATGCTTACCCTCTGGAAATTTAACGTAGCTATGGAAAATCACCATGCTATTGATGGGAAAACTCACTATAAATCACCATTTTCAATAGCTATTTTGACATAACCAGAGGGTAAAACCCACCAACATACCTTGGGGCACCACCATGTACAGCTGTTGGAAATGATTGGAGGTTGACTGGAGTTCCCTCGCTGTGTCCCTCACAAACATCACCTTGCAGGCGTTTCAGCACTATTTTACCCCCTCTTCACAGATTTTTCCCTTGTTTTTATTGGTTTAAAGTTTACCATCGCTCAAAGTGGTGGCTTTCAATTCTGTGATGGCCCCCCTAAAGCTGATCTGTAGGTGATGTTTCACATTGTTTCAGCCCCCAAGAAACAGGAAAGCACCACAAACTGAGGCGGTCTTCGCCTTCAATTTCTACATTTTACCTCCAGGAGTGTTCTGACCAGGGTCAGTGTGCGACAGATCCATGATTTTTTCTTAATGCCAGGTGATGGTGAAACATCATGAAAAAAATCACCATTCATGGTATAAAATACATGATGTATTGATATATTTGATAATTATATATATAATATGATACTTGTGTGAGCTAATATTGTTATATAGCCTATTAATTGCTGATTTGAATCACTAGACTGTTGTTTCATGGATGCCAAACATTGGATTTTCGACCAACAGAGCTTCTCATCAAGCCGCTCATCAATGGAACATGCAGTTCATGATTCGCTGAGAAGATCATACTGGGCATGGATAAACGGATACTGGGTTTCCCATGGTTTCCCATGGTTTCCCATACTGCAAATGATCATCTAGAAATGCTGGCATTTCCATCATTCGCTGAACTCATCAACTGTTTCATCAATTGCTGCGGATGTGACGTATCGGTTGTGAGTCAGTCGACATTTTCCTGGAGAAACCACCACCATATTTATGTACCCGACCTGGTTATGACTGTTACATAGCCATGGTTTTTTGATGGCCCTAATCGAAATAGAATGAAATAGATGGTTTACCTATTAATAGCATGGTGGATCTTTCCATGGCGAACTGTTAAATATCCAGATGGTAGATGTTTATCCAGTGATACGTTTGGTTTCAAAGACTTCTTTCCTTTCAATCCTGCTTTGGGATAATGATCCCAAGTCAATCTTCTTGAGATCGCTGGCTCAATATGAAGTGAAGATCTACGAGCCTTAAGAGGGCAGAGATCCCGGCCTTCCTTTGATGTTGAAATTACTCACTACAACTGCTACTCACTAGTACCACCTACTAACAAGAACTACTAAATACTACCATCTGGTTATTTAACATAGCCATGGAAGATGGCCCATTTATAGATGATTTTCCCATTAAAACCTCCATTTAGGGATTTTCCATGGCTATGCTAAATAACCAGATGGTAGTAACCACTACTCTTAGGGTTACTATTGACTACTACCCCCCGTGATGGCGTCACAGGACGGGGCAACTTCGTGTTTCCTGTGGAGGGATTCGTGGCCTTGACATTTTGCGTGGGAGTGCTGCTTGCGTGGCTGGGCCAGCAATGGGCTGACCAGCTTGTTAGAGTCAAGCCGGGAAAAATATCATGGGTCAATCTTGGCTATAACTGCTATAACCAATTTTTTTTCAGAGTCATCCGAGTTGATCAACTTTGGTTTATGAAAAAATATCAAGGTTTTGTATAATCATTAATAGATTATTATATCAATGTTTTATATTATATCCATTTATATATTGGTTTATGATTATCACCAATAGTTGATTGAAAGAAAATGGCTCAATCGACAGTCACATTTTTTTTGGAAGCCGACCACGTCGATCTTCTCCAGGATGGCCGTAAAATTTTTCGGCACCCTTCTCCCCGCCCCATCTCGCCGAAACGGAGCAGGCAGCGTCTCAAAACGGCCAACCAGCGATTTCTCCGCGGAAAGAAAGCCTGGAGCGAGATAGTGAACGTGACCAGGACTTCATGGAGACTGATGCGGATGTGTGAAAATGAGGTGAACACCAGAAATTTATGGCCGTGTTTGGAAAATGATGATGAAGCACTTTCATTTTCCTGAGACTTTTCGTTTTCTGTCAACAGTTGACAAGAATTGGATAGCCTCTCAATTGTTGGGGAGACTCTTAAACGTGTTTTTCATTCATTTTTTCTAAAGCGATTGGGGGGGTTGTTGGAGAAACCCTACCCTCTGGTAAACGAACAGTTCGCTATGTAACATCACCATCTTTAATCGGTAAATCAACGAACTAAATGGGTCATTTTCAATAGCTATCTTACATCCCATGATACCCTCTGGTAAACTAACATAGCTATTGAACATGGCCCATAGAAATCGTTGATTTATCCATGAAAAATGGTGGAATTTCCATAGCTATTTGGATATAACCAGAGGGGTAACAGAAGCACCACTTTTTGAGCTTGCAGGAACCTGAACCGTCAAGCGCATCTCTGGGCTGATCGTTCCTTGACGCCAAGAGCGGGCCTGGCTGGTACCCCTCTGGTAAACTAACATAACTATAGAAAATCACCATGTTTAGTTGGTAAATCAACAAAAAATGACCATTTTGAATAGCCATGTTAGTTTGCCAGAGGCTACCTAGGGCAAACATACAAAAAACACACGACAACCGGTTTCCTTATGAAAATGATCTACCAATAGTGGATTTTTCACATCGAACTGTTGGTTTACTGGAGGGTACCAATCCCTTGTTAGTGGAAGATCGAATGATGGTAACCCCCCTTTTATGAGTTTTGGTGTTTAAGTCGGCGACTGTAAATCCCAGGTGAAACAAAATACTGAAGAGAAATAGTAGGCAAATCATCCACAACTGGGAGATGTTCCAGCCAACCATGTTAAATTACCACAGAATCATAGAATCAGAAAGGTTTGGCAAAGGTTGACAAAGCACATGTAGAATTCAGGCGGCTATACTTTCTTGAAAGCTTGGTGACTTGGTAGTCACCATACCTTGATGGGCATGTACTGTGGCACCGTTCAGAACGGTTCCGAAATCCACACAGCTCAGTCTGGCTCGGCTACCAATTTATGGATGAAGACATCACATATTGTTGGTATTCCATGTGTCTTTGTTTATGATCTCGCCATGTCAATTGAATTTGCACTGACAGGCATAATTCAATTATTCTCGATTTTCCCCTGTATTTGGTACTTACTTGTTCGTTATTGCCCAACTGCAAACCGGCTAGTCATGGTGTCACATATCCCTCTTTTTTGACACACGGATCCTTGTTGGTCATCTCCCTGCGTCGAGTGGTTGCAGTGTTCTTTGTATGTCCCCTTTGCTGGGTGATATCTGCTGGAGGTGCGACAAACATTGAAATGAAACTCAAACGACCCCAGAAAATGAGGCAATCTTGCTTGAAACATCAATTTGATGGCAGATTTGGGATTCATTTTCAACTATCTAGACTTTTTTGGTTGGTTTTACCCAATTAAAATATGGAGGTATCATCAGTAAAGTAGAGGGAGATTAAGCGGGAAAAAATAATGGAAACAACAATGCAGACATTATTTGGAGATGCACAAGAACACATTCCATATCAATTCGTTTAGTTCCAGCTTCTTCTGGCAACAATTCAGCAACATTTTCGACCAATGGATCATGTCCTGCCGCATCCAGCTGTGACATTCCTTGCCAGTCTCAAGGTGAGAGCTTTCTGGTCTTCTCTCGTTGGCTTCCGGCGTAGCTTGGATGTTCCACTGTGGGAGTGCAGGTTTCGTGGATGGTTTGTGGGTCAATCTTGAGCCACAAAAACCATCATGGGTTTTATGATCTGTAACTGCATGTTGTAAAGGATTGTAAAGGACTAATTAGGTGAACTACTTTTTGCAACACGGATACGGATTGATATATGGATTCATTTTTCGCTACAACTTGTCTGTGGTTTTTATCCAAGCTCCAACATGAAGGGAAGCCAGTCGATGGAAAAAGTGTCCTGAAGATACATCACCTAAAATTAAGATGAAACCTGAAAATTGGGATCCCAAAGATAATTTGCTACTAAATGCTGGTGTTTTTTGGCTCCATTTTTGATTTAGGTGTATTGTTTGACATAAGACATAAGACATAGAGACATCCATATGTTTCATGGGTAAATCATCCCTCTCGTTTTGCGGGGTACTGTCAATTCCAAAGCGTTTGATGCTGAACTCCATGGCGAGTCGTGAGGTTCCCCGCTGCGCTGCTGTGGGATTTGCGCAAGCTGCCCGAGGAGGAGCTGCCAACGGTGCTGAAGGATTCGCAGGGAGCTGGCGATCAGGCGGGGAAAAACGTAGTGGGGATATCATGTGGTTAAAACAATGTAATAAACCACCCATGACTCGGAATGGTTTAATGGGAATGGTGTGCACATACCACCTATGAAAATGCTCAGTGGGGGATGGTTTATTATTGTTTTACCAACATTAGTGGGGATATGAGATGAATAATGTGATATTGTGGTGTATATATATAATTATATAAAAGAAGTGTTCAAAACAGAGATGAACATTTCACCCACAATAACCATTTGGATATCTCCTCATGATATCCCCATTATGGTTGGTTATTGTTGGTGAAATTCTCACTTCTGTTTTTGAACACCTCTGATAGATACCGTAAAATATCGCATTGCATCTTATATCCCCACTATATCACAACTATATACTTCCTGATTTTTTTTAAACGTCGGGTCCGCCATTTTTGTTCATTGGTCAAGAGCCAACACTCTGATGGTGCAAAGATCGTTTCTGCCAGCTGAAGATTGGCGCACGTCTACAATGATTCTGTTGCTCAAAACCACATTTCTTTTGATTGAAAAGACAAAAAACTTTCTGTTGCCACAATCTTCCTGCTTGAATCACATTTTTCCATATTTTTCCCAATTTCTTTGGCAAAATCTTGGGAATCACCCAAATTTTGCCGGTGTTTTTTCGCTGCATTCTCTGCCGCCAGACAGCCACCTTGGGTCTGACTCAATTGGAAATGGATCAGGCGGGTGGGAACACTGAGAAATTTTTGGGTCAATTTATGGATGTTTTGTTGGTGAAATAAGTTTCTTTTTGCTGATTTTGGGGACCATATTCAGACACCGAACTTTACCAGATGGATTTAACCCATATGAGAATTTCACCAACAGAACATGTGGGTAGCGATTCATTGAGGGTTTAATAGTGGTACCCTCTGGTAAACTAACATAACTATGGAAAATCACAATTTTTCATGGGAAAATCCACTATAAATGGTGACTTTCCATAGTTATGTTAAATTACCAGAGGGTATACCTTGCCGCACATCGAGTGGTCCTGTGATGTCCTATCCAGCTTCATCAGGACGACCAATGGGACCAATGGATTGGTCCAAGGGAAGTTTCAAGCGTAAAAAATCAGACCCCCGCAATTCCCAATGATACCCTCTGGTAAACTAACAGTTCGCTATTGAAAATGGCCATTTATAGTGGATTTACCCATTAAAAATGGTGATTTTCCATAGTTAGGTTAGTTTACCAGAGGGTAATTTTATCATCCTTTTCCCATTGATCATTGGACTTAAGGGAGAATCGAAACTTCGGTTTAAAAACCCTGGGTTTTTCCTATGAAATAGAGGGGGCTTCAGGTATCCCAATTTTGGGATGTTAACCATATTTGTGGGTTTACCATGGTTTACCACATTACTATATAATTATGTATATATATATATATGTGTTTGTATCAAATTTCCCTGAAACCACAGGTTCTTTTTGCATGGTCCGAGGTGCTGACCCGGCCCGCCGGCTCCACAGCTGCGCTGTATGTCTTGCAGAAGCTGCATGTCTGGCTCCACAGAAAACGGAGAGTTGTGATGGGCAGAATTCGATTCGGAATGGCAATCAAAAAAAGGGGGATTGTATGGGTCTGTAAATGTTGTTGTTGTTGTCGTTGTTGTTGTTGTTGTTGCTGGGAACATGATGATAATCCATTGGAATTGGTGGTAGCCTATTTTTAGACAAACCCGGCAACCAAACACACTGGGGTTTACTGGTCGCAACATGAAAAATCGGATTCGATGAATCGGATTTTGGGGTTTCACTGCCAGAGATGTGGTCTCTTCAGCACCCAAAAAGACCGCCCAAAGCTGTGCCAACAAACAGTGACAAACAAGATGCATCAGCATTTTCAATAGTGGTAGGGACAGGTGGTAAACGAGTAGCCAAGGTGCATTCCTGGGAAGAGTCGCGGCGTTTTGTCGCTGAGAAAATCTTATGGACCGAACCAAGAAAGATTTAGGATTTGATTAGCAGAAATGGCGAAGAAAGTCCAGGTGTTTCTTTGGGAGCAAAGTGCTCCAAGACTCATCACTGAGACTTCACACCACGTAGAGCTGAAGTGGTTGCATCCGTGTGAGTTGCAGCGCACATATTGGGTTACCCTCCAATGGAAAATCCCGCATTGATAAATGATAAATGAGTTCCTCATTTAGAAGCCCTTTGATTGCCGAACGGTAAAGCCCATTGGGAGGGACATTCACTGATTCACTTCCCTTTGCTGAAGCTTTGCCTACATCCTTGGTGCTTGACCGTCAGCTCAGTGGCTTAATGTCATTTTTTTTTTCCCTTAGACCAAAACTATGTCGAAACTCCAAGTTGTTTTTCTGGCAGATGAAGCCACTGTTTTTGCAGCTGAACCGGATGTTTGTGGGCGCTGGACTGACCCGTGTTCTGGTCAAATGAAAACTTTCCAGCTGAAACCTTTCTCCGCGACTAGACTGACAACTCCACACATTTGGCTTGACGACATCTATTTTTTGCCATAAATGAAGATCTCCGTTATATCCCCACTATATTGCCCAGGACGAGACAAACCATCCATTTTCTCCACAGCTTTTCCCAGGTCGTAGCTTCTAAGCTCCAGTTGGCTGAACCTCAAAGCTCTGTACTGCAGCAAGCCTTGCTGCTGGGATTGAGAACTGGGGGGTGCTGGGATGGACGGGGACGAAAAAACATGGAGAAATTTGTGATTTTCACCTAGAAAAACCTATAAAAGGTGGGTTTCTTTTTGCCTGTAACCTTATGGATTCCACCGCAAGTGGAGATCTTTTATCTGAGGGCACCAACCACAACTTGGATAAAACCCAAACCGGAGACTTATACAAACAGGGGAAACAATCAACGAAAGCAACCAGAAAAAAGCGGGGTGCAACCAGACGGGAGGATTGCACCGAGATCTGGGCATTAACAGGATTCCTCGAGTGAAACAGGGCGAAACAGAACTTTGGTACGCGTCCAGATTCTTGGACTGTCCAAATTCTTGGACTGTCCAAATTGGATTTATCAATTTACCACACCAAACTTGCCACAAGATCGGGTATCTCATTTTTGGGACAAAACCATATCCATTATTAGTTGGTGATGTGCACTGAATCTCGCTATTCTGGCTTTTCATCCCTCTTTCCATCTGCAGGGCCCACCGTTTTACCGGGCCATCTCTGTCTTTCCAAGGTCCAAATTGTCAGAAGCCGTTAAGGCATGCCAGAAGGAGAAACACCAGGCTGGAGATCTAAAGCAGGGGATGGTAGTTGTAGCCCTGGCGAGGCTCAGTGCTGACAGATGTGTCACGCTATGGGTTAGTGTCCTGTCCTTGGGGCCTTGGGATGAACTTCTCAATAGCCATTAGTTCAGGATTCCTGTGGGACCACCATTGATCCCATCCAACTTGATCCTAGCCTTTTGATGAAGTGATGTTGGAATCAGATGATAAATCATATATATGTAATATATATATATATACTGTATATATATATATATAAATTATATATGTAATATGATATCACATGATACGGATAGGCTGATATATATATAATATGATCCCAGATGATCTCAGTGATATTCCCATATCAGCCTATCAGCCAGAAGCCTATCGAAATCCGAGGCTTTACCACAGATCTACCAGTACTCCGCGGGTTGCTGGGACGGCACCTTTTTGGTGATTTCCAAAATCTTCCCAGGGGCTTTCACCATGAAAAATGGGAATTATCATGGTGAATCAATGTGAATAATGGTGAATAATGGTGAATAATGGGTAGTGATGGTTAGTGATGGTTGATAATGTTTAATGATGGTCAATAATGGGGTTAATGGTGAATAATAATGGTCAATGGTGAATAATAGTGATGAATAGTTCGGAAAGGTGATTCATGGGATTTACCATTTAGTCCTTCCCGTGGCTGGGACATCGCCCAACTCAATGGAGCTTCTACTGGGAAATCATCTAAAAATGGATGGATAAAATCCAGCAAGCCACGTGGCTGATTGCCGGAGGATCATCTAAGTACATACTTTACCCTCTGGTAAACATACAAAAAGCTATTGAAAATGGCCATTTATAGTTGATTTACCCATTGAAAATGGTGATTTTCCATAGTTATGTTAGTTTACCAGAGGGTAGCGGATTTTTTGTTGGTTCTTAAAGATGAACAAGATATGAACGAATAGTGGACAACTATGTTCAAGGTAGTCTACACCCTCTAGATCCCAATTTACACCCTATCCTGCTTTCTATTGGCAACAACAAGTCACCTTTACCAAATTGGAAAAAAACATCACGAATCTCCGCTGTGCAAGGATTCGTTTTCCTGTGGCTGGCGTTGCTTCCCTTCATTTTGCCAACTCAACTGCAGGCCGATGACTGGGACAAACAAACAAACTGTACTGTGGTACTGTGGATGCGAAATCCTGCACCAGTAGATGGTTTATCTCATGATAATTCCATTATTTCCAGCGTTTCATAGTTGCCACTAGTGACCAAGTGGCACCTGAGTTGGAGATTGGAGGTTTCATCACTGAAAAACCCACAGGTGGGCGTAGTGCTTGCGCAGCAAGTGCTGGCCTTTGGCTTGTTGGGTATCTTGGCTCTTTAGGAGTGAGCCTGGCTGTTGGGCGGCCCACAAGACTTGGATGATGTACCGCTTGTTGCTGTATCCCGGGGGATCCAAATCAAATCACAAGCTGCATGGAAGCTCCCAACTGGGCCATTGCAGCTGGAGGAATTGAAGATGTGACCATTCAATTGGAGGAGCTGGGATGTCGGGTGGTGAAAACAACCAGCGTCTGGGAAGACCTGGGATTGGAAGAGGATTCTTTGGGCTTCAATGTTCATTTTGGAATTTGGAGACCTGGGAAATTGGTCGTTTGAGTCGTTTTGGATTTTGGGCCTTTCGACATGGTGAAGATCAGTGGTCAATATGGCTCTAGGCTTTCCAGCCATGTATTCCTGGATCAGTATTACACGAAACTATAGTCTTTTCCATCAAAGATAAGAGTTTCCTATATATATATATATTTCCCCTAACCATGCGCAGACAGTTTTACTGCAAATTTTAGTGAACCAGAAGATGCCTTGAGGTCCCAACTTCATTACATTTGCACCCCAAAACTGATGTATTGCTCTTGGAGAGCGGTACCCCACACGGCCCCACAGTGTTGGGGTCACCGATTTGGGAGTAGTCTTGATCCATGGGCACATGTGACATCTTTCAGGGCATACCTAAAATTGATAGGACCAAGAGATTCAAATCTTAGTTTTTTGGGTTGAACACGGTCCCACTTATATAGTCCCTCTGAATATATTAAAACGGGACCTGCCAATGAATAGATTCAACACCTTCCACATTGGGGGATATTTGATCTTGGTTATTAGTTAGGAACCCGACATGATTTTCTAATTATCACCATGACATGTCATAGGTTATATAGTTATATATCATCAATTATCATTATATATCCCATCATACCCCCATGAAATATCCCAATTGTATCCCCGCTGTATCCATTAAACACAAGCAACAAAATCCCAGAAACAATCCCAATTGGTTGGCTAAGCGGCTAACAATTGTTCCACATGTTTCCTATTTGCGACAATTTCTGAGTAACATCTTCCTCATTTTCTAGTTACCCTCTGGTAAACTAACGTAACTATGGAAAGATCCACCATTTTATAGCTGGGTAAATCCACTATTTCGACTGGGCCATCTTTAATAGCTATTTTGACATAACCAGAGGGTACATTTGTTTCTTTGTCAATGGAGCTGGAGATGCACAGGAGCCCTTTGCGGTACTCCCCATGGAGGGGCCCTGCACCTCTCTCGCCAGCGAGTCTCAGGCCTGGATGACTGGACCATCCATGAAAACCTGCAGGAAAACCAGCTAGCGTTTTGGGGTAGCGTTTTGGGGTACGTAGGGTACCAGGGTTTTGATTTTGATATCCAGATATTTCTATCTTATGATATCCAGATGTGCAGATTTTGATATTTCTATGATTTTGTTATCCTATGTCTTGCGTAGCATTTTGCATCCCACGTTTCTTTTTCGGTTGTGTTGCTTCATTCCCAATGAGATTCCTGCATACGGCGAACATCACCAGGCCCTGCGAAGCAACTGGAGGAGGTTCCCGGGCCCCCCGGAACCGAACATCACAGGGGCTGCATCTCCTCACCAGCACTCAGTCTATTCCGGAAAAAATACCCCTTGAAAAATTGCCATATTTTTATAGGCAAATCGCTACAAATGGCAATTTTCAATCGCTGTGTTGAATTACCGGAGGGTACCTGGTACAATTCTGGACATGCACGTCGTGACGACACTGGAATGATGCGAAGTGCGGGGAATCATCCTCGGCCTTATGAGAAGAACTATTTTACGGTAAGTGAATTATTGTAGGAATGATATTACCTAAATGATATCACCTATAATTCCTAACCTATAATGAGTATCATTTTCAGGTAAGTGATATCAGCCGGAAATGATACTCATTTTTGGGGAATTAGAGAGGTGATATTTATCCATGATATCCCCATGATGTTCCATCATACAAATCCATGATGGCTTCCCCACTACATCCCCATTACATGTCAATGACCGTTATTTCATGTTATTTCATCCTATTCTTGGGACTTCCTGTAAACTGGCTGCTTATCCTCCGACAGTGGAAAGTTCGTAGCTCAGCATCCAAAGTGAACATACTATGTTCGCATCTTGGCTTTCAGATCTTGATTGTCTGGAATATTCTATTCTGGTTGGTGGTTTCAATCATTTTTTATTTTCCAATTTCATATATGGGATGTCATCCTTCCCATTGACGAACTCCATCATTTTTCAAGATGGTGAAATTGCACCACCAACCTGCCAGCTAGTGTCCATATTATATATATAATGATATGATATATTTATATATATATTTACATGTCGAACATCTCACAGATCCAGGATGCGGAAGGGCCTGGAACGTCCCAAAGCCAAGGAGTCGGTGTTTTTCGGTGTGTAGTAAGTTGGCCAAGGTTTAGCGTTTGGCCCCAAGAAAGATGGAGATTTCAGATTCAACCAAAACATCTACCCTCTGGTAATTTAACTTAGCTATTGAAAATGGTGATTTATAGTGGATTTTCCCATTAAAAATGGTGATTTTCCATAGTTAGGTATGTTAGTTTACCAGAGGGTAGAGTGGTTACTGACTATTCCACTGTGGATTGGAAAGAAACGAACATGGAAGGTCTGACCACCAGCAACGAATATTTTATCTAGCAAACCGTGTGACGATACGACGAATGTGACAAGAATCCGTGCAAAATTTCACCAAGAACTACCATGAACTACCTTCCGCCTTGTACGTTTAATGATCGAGTCTGTATATGGGACACCATCCCGATTTTTTTCCATCAATTCAGGTTGGTGGATCGTCATGATTCATGTAGTTTTATTGGTGGACACACTCCTTTGATATTAGAGGGATTACAGTGATGAGTACATACAAGAAAGCTTTTTTACCCGGGCCATGTTGGTGTTTTTCCGAAACCAATGGTGTTTTGAGCATGTTGGATCCCGGATCGTGTTGCTGCTGGACAACTTCTCGTGAAATTCTTCAGCATTCCTGTGATTGTCCATGTACCCTCTGGTAAACATACAAAAAGCGATTGAACATGGACCATTGAAATAGTGGATTTACCCATTCAAAATGGTGGATCTTTCCATAGTTATGTAAACGTTTACCAGAGGGTAGAACACTGGACAAAAACTCTTTCTTCACCAGTGATTCCTCCCATCACACAACCAGTTGTGGTTTCTGGGCGATGAATCTCGCGGAAAAATCGCCCCCAGATCCCAACTTCGCGCCATCAGGAGCCGCCACAGAAATACTCCTTGGGGTTTCCCCGAAAAGACCGGGTCTTTCCCTGCCCCCTGGACGACACGGCTGGGGTTTGGAGAGGAGTTTGGAGGGATTTCGGATGTTTTTGTCCGTCCCAAATGAGACTTTTTTTGATGAAAAATAGGAAAGTGCAGCCGAAGTATATTTTGAGAATTTGAAGATTTTGAAATATCCTATATTCCCAAGTTCTATCTTATGAATTCGACATTGCCTCTGCAAGAGCAGGGCACTTGAAATGATCGAATTCCCTGTGTATGAGGAGGTAATGATTGCTTCTACTGTGATTAAGAATGACCACGGATGACAGGATAAGCTGGGATGTTCTCCACTTACAAACTATTGGATCCTAAATGTCAAGCAACATCCCCTTTGGTGGACTTGGCAATTTGGAATCGTAGTCTTACGAATTTAATTGATGGAAAATCTACAGGTTTCCCCTGCGTGTTTGTGGCTGAAAACCATGGCTTCCTGTAATTGTACGAAAACCTTACGATTTAAAACAATCCCTTGAATGTTTTGAAGAGTTGGAGGAAACGATCACTGGCATCCGAGGTTTGCCTGTTGACAAGCAACAATCAATGGTCACGTCGAGAAACAAAGCTGTTAGAAAGCTGGGACCAAAATGTGAGTTAGAACCCAAGCTACCGTGTAGAGATGAACAATGATGATTATCCATAAATGCCATACTGATACTGGTTGGTGGTTTGGAACATGGCTTGTATTTTGCATTTCATATATGGGATGTCATCCGAAACATTGACGAACTCCATCATTTTTCAAGATGGTGAAATTGCACCACCAACCAGATCATTATTGGATGATTATCTACCCTCTGGTAAACGTTTACATAGCTATGGAAATTCACCATTTTTAATGGGTAAATCAACTATAAATGGCCATTGTTATCCGAGCCATTTTGGTGTTTTTGTCAGCCGCGTCTCCCAAGGCTATCCAGATGAGACACTTGGATGCCCTTCAGGGTGGGCTGTTGGCCAGGAATAGAATCAGTGGAAGGAAGGAAGCAGTGGCTGTTTGAATGGCTTGATAGGGTTATGTAAATCTATATAATATGGTTATATGATGTTATGATATATGTAAATTCATTAATATAAATGATTTGTACTTTGCCAGGCTTTTTGTGGAAATGAGAAAAATACACCATAGACGAAGCAGTTGCCCAGTTCAGGAGGGAAGCGGGCAAGGACGACGAGGTGATCCTGCTGAAATGACGAGATCTTTTTTGTCAGCGCTGATCTCTCCGCTGATTTGGTGCACTGGTGATCCAGATTTGAGTCTCTGGTTGATGGTTTGGAACATGGCTTTTATGACTTTCCATATATTGGGAATGTCATAACTGACGAACTCATAATTTTTCAGAAGGGTTGAAACCACCAACCAGGTCTTGTTGGTGACAAGAAACTGAACCGCTGGTGCCCACGGCCACGGCCGAACTGGCGCCCGGAGGTGGTGGACAATGTTTGACACAGCAACGAAGGGACCGCTTCTCGACTCTGGTGAATGGAGAACGGCGAGGCTGCAACATGGATGAGAACGGCTCCATGCAGATCCTGACCAAGACATACCAAGACTGTCAACTGGAGATGGCCATATCCCACTACCGCCTCGCTCTGTGATGCAAAGAACCGCGGCCGCCGTTGGGTCGGTTCTGTGGCTGCTTCATGTTTTTTTGATGGCTGGGTTAGTGCAGAACTTGAATTCAACTAGCTAAAACCTATATACTGTAAATAGTGAGAACTGTGATGGTCCTTCAAGTAGACAACTGAATGGGGATTCAAGGCTGCTGGCGATTCAGTATCTTTAGTGTCTCCGTGGGTGTCTGCTGCAAAGGATTCTGCTAAGAAGTTAAAAAATGTCACCCGCAATCATCAGTGGGTGATCAACCAGTGACACACCAAGTGGAGGTGGCTCAAACTTATTCACCTTCAAACTGGAACCAGCAACAATTTTGTGTCTCCACTTGGAACCCATCAGGCAGATACCAGCAGAATTGAACGGAGTTTTTGGCCAACATTCCTGCAACCAAGAATGGCTTTGATTTTGGATTCGAAATGAAGATAGCAAGAGATACGCCCTTGAAAAAGTGGGTCGAATAGATTTTCACAGAAAAACAATACATAAGCCTCAAACAGTTCAATGGTCTTCAACCGGTTTCTTGTGACATTATCCCTAAAATCAGCCCAGATCAAGATCAAAGTATATAGTTTCCTTCTTTTTGTTCCTAAAACATCACATCTTCACCCCAAGACTTAAGCTTTGGGAAGTTTAGGGCACCATGGCACCATGCTCCCGCCATGGTGCCGTGGCGCCGTGCCGCGGCCTGCGCGTTCGCACTGCTGGCGGATGCGGAGCGCCCGAGGCCGGCGCCACGGGTGTTGCTGTCCAGACCCAGACAGGCGGCAGGTGGACCGATGGCAGCGGGGAGGTTGGGAAGTTACTCTTCAGTCGTTTCTGACAAACATGGAAAAAAAACTATGAAAGTAGATCATAATTAGTCCTTCAAGACGAGTTTTCAAGATCTTTTTGGATGTTGGGGGGATTTAAGCGGCCAAAACTGGGGAGTTTTTTTCACAACAACAGCGATGTAGCAACCGATGCAACTACAAAGTTGGAACCAATGTGAGGATGGTTGACAGGGTCTTGAGAATATCTGATAGGAATTGATAGGATATCTATTCTGGTTAGTGGTTTGGAACATTTTTTATTTTCCCCAATAGTTGGGATGATCCAATCTGACTTTCATATTTTTCAGGGGGGGTAGGCTCAACCACCAATTTCTATTTTGTTTGATTTAACCAAGTAATTTTGATGTTGGTGAACTGAGGGATTGGTGAAGATCCAAGGCCCTGGGAATCCTGAGAACCACTGATTTGAATCACCGATCTGACCCTCTGGCTATGTCAAAATAGCTATTGAAAATGGCAATAAAAATCGTTGATTTCCCTATTAAAAATGGTGGATCTTTCCATAGTTATGGGACAGTTTACCAGAGGGTACTTCTTAAGTTTCCATTTTGTGGGGTACTCAGGTTTAGACCCATCAGATGGAGATGGACTTCCATCATATTTCTAGGGATTTACTTGGCACGTGTTGAAAGGCGGGAAAATTCAAAGCGACTTTTGCTTTGTTACAAAAATTGGGTGTGCCACTTGGATGTTCCAGAAATTCCGTGGAACATGTGTCAGGTGCGAGATACTATCCCGTCCGCCAGCTGCTGGATTGCTACTCGGCTCCGGGGCCATCCGTTGCAGTTTCTGGACCTCCCAAAATCCGCTTCAGCGTCTTGGGGGCGCTGAGGTTACACGACATTTCCGGGTCAACGGGCAACTGGTAGGGCCAAGTCAAAATACACCATACACCAAAATGATTACCTATACTTGCTAAAACTTGATCTGCCTAACGTCTTGATATGTCTTGATTGCATGAAACCTCCAAGTTTGACCCTGTGTTGGGTTCAGTATTGACAGGTCATGCATGACTTCCAACCCCCTGGAAGCTCCGTTTGGCGTCAGCAGCGTCACTTAGGGAAGTGAATCCCAGCTACGATCAGTGGGTAAAGACCGATGGTATATAGCCCAGTTTCTAAGTTCCTAAGATTATTAACATCCTCCGTTCAAAAGCTCATAACCCCAGCCACATGAATCTAGGAATGGCAAGTTGCAGCTCAAATCCTACATTTTCAGACACTACTGGATAACCCCCCAGCCAGTATCCGATAAAAATTCTCGGTTCTACCACCATTTTTAGATGATTTGATGCCTTTTTTGCGAGGTGAAGGGTCCAACTTTTCAACCCCCTGGCGAAGCTTCCGCGAGAAGGTCGCGGCCAATGCACGGGAAGGCGATGGTGAATTGCTGTGGGGAAAGGAAGGGGTTCGTGGTGAATGTGTCACTGGGGAAAGGACGCTTTTTCTTTTTTGAAAAACGGGAGGAATCTTCATCATTTACATGTACAGTTTGGCTATTTTGCTGGAAAAATGATGGACTTGGGGTAGATCTTCCACGATGTAGCAGTGTTTCACCCAAACATTGGCAATTTTCATAGCCATGCGTTGAAGCCACTTACAAATGGGATATGACCCAGCTATATTTGGGTCAAAAGCCAATTGCAAGATGATGAACAACCACTAGATTTGGGAGGATTTGGGTATACCCTTTGATCATTTTTGACGTTGTTTGCTATGGAACATCGCCTAAAACACGGTGATTTTCGATATATAGCATTATATAGCTATGTCAAATTACCAGAGGGTATATTTTTTATCAATGGCTCACGGTGTCCATCAATATCACCTGGGTAGCCCGTGGGGTCAGGTTTCCCTGTGGATGCCGAACTGCTGACATGGGCAAAGCAGATCCATTCGATGTGGGAGGATGAAGTTCGGATGATTTTAGAGCGGGCTGGGAGATACCCTCTGGTAAACGTTTACATGGCTATAGAAAATCACCATTTTAAAATGCAAATCATCTATAAATGGAACATTTTCCATAGCTTTTTGTATGTTTACTGGAAATCCATTGGAAATCCATTGGATGGCGAATCCAGAAAGTGAGGATGAGATCCAAATCACCAAGAAAAGCCAACTGAAGTGATTGTAGCAATTGTAGCACCTTATAAGAATGGATAGAATGGATAGAATGGTACCCTAAAATAGCTGGTTAATGGATGGCAATTAATATGGATAGTAATTCATGATAGTAATATGAATCACCATCCATCAATTACCGTTAATGGATGTATTTAAAACTCAGCAAACTGCTTCTTTTCCAAGAGGTGCGAACATCCTGGAGGTTTTCCCTCGGGGCAGGAGGGATGGTGCCGTGCTGATGCTGGTAGCTAAGATTAAATACCCTCTGGTAAACTAACAGTTTGCTACGGAAAATCACTATATATTTTAATAGGTAAATCAACTATAAATTGACCATTTTCTATAGCTTTTTGTATGTTTACCAGAGGGTATCCCATAATATATTAGACACCTACCAGGTAGCTAATCTTAAGATCTACTTTTTCAACATGAACCAGCAAATCTTGTGCAAAAATCAGAGTTCTGCCCATTGGAAAGGCCAAGACACAGGGCATCCCCCGCGCAATGAGACACACCATATTCAGAAGCCAACAGGCCCAGTGTGAGTACCCAAAGTTCCAGTTTCTACTCCTCACTGGGGATCTGTCAGACCTAAGGTCCCTTACATGATGTATGGTTGTATTATTTGCATAAATTGATACATCGATTGCACGCAGGTGTATGTTACAAATTGACACACATATAATATATATATATGCTCTGAATAATGATGTATCAATACAAATATATCATTATTATATTCATTTATATTCATCACAATCAATTCACATATATAATGATATATATTCACACAGAATACGATCTACTATCATGATGCGCTTTCTGATGCATTTTCTGTGCACAGAGACTGAGACTCCGCTTCGACGCCCAGGTAGCGCCGTTGCGCAGCATGACCCAAGTGAAGGTCCTCACGCGGCAAAGCAGCGTGGAAGACCTGGGATGCTCGGCTGCAGATGGGGAGGAGATAGGAGGTACCCGGCCTGGTAAACATACAAAAAGCGACATAGAAAATGGCCATTTATAGTGAATGCAGATAAGACACGTACATCTGTGATTCATGTAGATATCAGCATACATGAACGTAAATGTAAACATGTGAATGCATGCGCGCCGCGCGCACACAATAAACACATGCATCACAAAATGCGTAAATGTACATGATGGGTACATCCATCCCTCCATCCGTCCATCCATAGAGACATAGAGACGTAGAGACGTAGAGATGATATCTGATAGCATGCTGGCAGGGAGGGGTGATGGGGTGGGTGGGTGTGTTAGCGTTCATTGCACTTGCATTATGCAGATCATGCTACGTTAAATGACGTCTCGGTGATGATAGCACGCTGGCAGGGAGGGGTGATGGGGTGGGTGGGCGTGGCCGGAATTCAGAAAACTGTTGTCATTTGATGCTTCGGCTGTGGCGCAGTGCCTGACTTGGGAGGTGGCAGGCACATATATATATATATATTCATATTTGCTATTGAACGCAAGTTTCAGACAGGAGACTCAGAGATCAAGAAACGAAATCTGTCCATGTCTTTCACATGATCAACATGGTCAAGTTTCTCGTGTAGACATCAACGGTCCATATTGTCTCATGACCTGAGAGTTCGCTTGTGCTTTCTGTGGTTGCCTCTGTTGGCCAAAGCTCCTGATCCGGATATTTTCAAGAGGTTTCGGAGAGGTGGGTGACTTGACAGATCATCTACCCTCTGGTCATGACAAACACTTCGCGAACTGGAAAGATCCACCATGCTATCAATGGGTAAATCCACTTTCGACTGGGCCATTTTCAATGTCGCAAACTGTTAAATTATCAGAGGGGATCCGCGGATCCGGAAGTGGCGGGGCTGCGGACACAAGGAATGTCTGCACAGTGGGTAAGAATTTTGCAACATTAGTAATGTGTAATTTGCAGTGGTTGAAATGGGTAATTACATTGTATTACACTAGTAAATGTCAATGTTTGAAATTTGTAATTACAGTGGTTGACATTTCTCATTTGTAGTTCCCGGTCTAATTTGCTGTTAAAACACCATTGATGTACTTGGAATATGAGACATGTCTTTTCGTACCACGGTCGGCTGTGAGTGGTGGACCTAGTTAGGTAGATGGATGGATGGATGATGGATGGATGGATGATGGATGGATGGATGGATGAATGGATAGATGGATAAAGGTATTGGTGGATGGATGGATGGATGGATGGATGGATGGATGGATGGATGGGTCGATGGGTCGATGAGTAGATAAATTAAACAATTGCAGGTATAGATATAGAAACATATATATGTATATATATACACGAATACAAATATAGACAAATGCACCCTGTGAGAGAAACTTTTTTTTTTAAAATTCGATCAACGCCTCGTCTGAGGCGATTTTTGCCTCTTTGCCTATGCAAGTTCTTTGCGGCTTGGCAGCCGCAAAGGACACGTCCGGGATTTTGAACCAAAAACTGTTGGTTTGAAGCAACATGACTTAGGCGATGTTAGGCGTGTTGTTTTGAATCAAAACGCTAGGGCATGTAACCGATGTAACCATAGCGGCAGAAATGACCAAAGAACTTTGGGGTGATGGAAACTCAAAGTTAGGTGTGTGTAGGGATAGCGAACAAAATCGTGTTGGAACTAGGACCTCCGGCAATTTGGGCACATCTCTGGAAGTCACCTTGGGTTTGTTCAACGTACAAAGATGCGATCCAATAAGGGGGATCGACAGATTTGGTCATCTTAGGGAGGGTCGGCCTGGAGAAGCAAATAGGTTTTATAAACACTGGTTGGTGGTTTGGTTCCCCTTGACTTTCATATTTTTCAGAGGGGTAGGTATACCACCAACCAGAACAGTATAATTCGGATTTATTTTGGGTACGTGGCTTAGAGACCAACCGACATAACTGCAGGGAGTGGCCCCATTGGACTAAGATTTCTTTGGAAAAAAGGGCACTGGAACAGCGTGGCAGCCGCGATGTCTGTGTCTTTGCTCGTTGATTTTCGTGTTTTTCTTGGGTGTCTGAAAATGAACATATGCACTGAAACAACAATGTGTGTGCAGAACATGATAAATCGCTGGAATTGTTTTTTTTTTGACTAGTTTTGGACAAACCAAACCTACGTTGGTTTGGGCAACAGTTTTGGGTTCCAAATTGGACCTTTCCTCATTTTTGGTCGCTCATTCTTGGTATTTCAAGTCGAATTGATGTTGGTCAAAATTCATTTTGGACCATTTTCTGGCCTGCCATATCTTCCTGGTTGTTGGTCAACCCTGATCAATGGAACGTCGGTTGTGAACTCCTTTGAGGTTTCTGATTTTTCGTCATGAGCTCGAACCCAAGCACCTGCAAGATTTGAAAGATGCCTCTCAGTTGCGGTTGGTTCTTGGGGGTTCGTGAACCACTGGATCTAATGGTGGTCGAACTCTGAGTCAGAAGTTCTTCGATGACCTTTGAAATTTTGAAGCCATCACTTGCGAACCACATTTGATCCTTGCATCCACAAGTTCGGATTTGTATCTTTTTCTCATGAAACATATTTGATCCATGTTGAGCCATGTTCCCTATGTCTGTTGGGCCAATGGCACCTGCATCACTTATTGCTAGTCCCTTCATCGAGGAATTCACTCCACTTTCTGAACATTTTCTGCACTCATGGAATGGAATCAGCTCAGCAAAATGATGTAAAATCGAAAACACGTCTTCCAAATCGTATTTTGTTCGGTTCTACACATCAGATTGGTGAATCCGTTTGAGACCACAGCATTTTGGTTCTGAACATCTCTGGAGATTAATTACCTAGATTTTCATGCAATTTCTGCAATTACTCATCATATATGGTCCATTGGTTGGTGGCACATGTTCATACATTTTCATGGGTCATGGGTGAATTTTCCAATGAAGAATAGAAAAAAATGACCCCATTTGGAGACCAACCCACTTCAGCTTGACGATCGATGGGCATCTCAGGAAACAAAGATGTGGTTTTCACGAAGATACCTCGGGTTCTCCCATTTCCATAGGTTGTACCATTTCTCTCTGGGGATATGTATTTGTATCTATCTCTCTATCTCTCTATCTGACTCTAAATTTATCGACAAACACCTTTACATTGTAAGTGTACATTTAAGGGCTGCCGCCCCTACCGCCGACCCCGGAAAACTGCAAGGAGACGTATTTCCATTCTGACCCAGCGATGTCTGAAGCGGATTTAAGCGTGCTTTCTGGGGCCCTGCGGTGCATCGTGCCGTGGTGGAGCAAGGTTGCAGAGGAGGTATTCTGCCGCTGCTGGATGGTTTCGGCCGGAACAGGGCGCAATATGCTTGCAAGATTCATCGGCTTGTTTTTGGAGAGGGTGTTACGGTGACCGTGGAGTCGCTTGCGGTGTGGGTTCTGTTTGAATGCATATTCCGCTACACTGGAGATGCAAAGGTGTTGGACACTTTTTTTTCAATGTCGATCATCTGCAGGAAGTCAAGGATGCGGCAGCGCATGGCGTGCTGAGGCTTGAGGTGCTTTTGCGCGAAATCTTGCGGAGAGAAGTGCAGGGCCGAACGTCTGAAGGCTTTGTTTTCGACCCGGGATGGCAGGCGGCGGACGTATCGGAAAAAGATGGTCTGGGAGAAGATGTTGTATTTGCTACTGTGGCTCCAGATTCAAAGTTTTTTGATCATATGATGATTGCGCTTGAGATGTGGGGAAGCCAGGCAACAGGTGTGGCGCGGGGCTTGTTTGATTTGATGCAATGTATTGAGGCACAAACCGACAACTTAGAAGAGGATGAGCGTTTGGTTTTTGAGCAGTGTTTGTGTAGGAGCAACCAGGATCAAGGGCAAGGAGATCAGAACGTGTCGCAAGGTTGGCGTGAGCGGCTGGAATGCATGGAGCGTGTGATGGAGGATTTCATGTTCTGTTTGCTTGGTCTGGACTTATTGGGTCGTCCCGCTGGTCGCGCATCGTTGCAAGGCACAGAGCGATTTTGGTGCTACCATTTGAAATTCACTTTGAATGATTGCTATTGTTTGATGGCAGCCTTCTTGTGTGGAGAGCAGAGACGACGACCGGCATCGGAGTGTACTTGTATCAGGTGTAGAGCCATCTGGTTTCTGAGATGTCGATATATTTTTTTCGGACCGAGCCCATTAGCTTTGCATTGTGGATTGCTGTGTCAGGCTCCTGGCACAGACCGTGTTCAAAGAACCACGGTGGCCGTGTGGCGGCAACTTCGAGCACTGTTAGAAAGAGAGTTGGGCGGACACTGGGATCTGTATGCTGTTCAGATGCTGCCATGCACATGGCGAAGCTTTCTGGTGACGGCGTTGAAATATCGAGACAGTGACAGTGTTGATTTCCAGGTGGAGTGGGTCACTTCAGCACGACGTCAAGTCCTTCGTGTATTTGAGTTGGAAACTGTACGGTTAGCAGAGTTACGAGCGTGGCTTCGGCACTTGGGCATGCAGGAAGAGGAGTTTGGTGGCCTGCCAACTGCGGTGCAAAGAGAGGTGTTAGCAGAGGTTCGGTTTTTGCCAACTTTGAAGGCTGTGGTGCTGCGGGAGCTGTTTGCGAAGGCATTGGCGCGGCACTCGAGAGACTGATGCGCACTGAGCGAACGCGCTGTTCGAGGTGAGAACAAGTGACCAGGTGGACGTGAGGACGACTCAGGGAGTACATGGGAGCTCGGAAAGAAGAACTTGCATGAAGATCTTCACGCAGTGGATAAGGACAAGATTTGAGTTAATCTTTGAAAATGTTTGAAAGTGGATGGGTTTGCAAATCAACTAGTTTGCCGGATCAGAGGTTGATGATGGATGATTTTCTGGCAGCTAACCCCAGAGTACATTTGTGCGATATGGGTACGTATGCATAGGTACATGTGTATATATGCACAGACATATGCGCATGCGTTGGAAATGGGGATGATTTGGTTAGTTCCGGTGGTTTCAGTGTTACTTTCTACACAAGTGTTCTGATGTCTTTTCTGGCCAGCAATGATGGAAGACGGTGGTTCTAAATCAAGTGCCAACGGCAAAGTGCCATCTAGCAGGCCATTCCTACGGGAAAGGGTCGTGCCGCGGTCACGGAGGCACGGTGGAACGGGTTTGGGGTGCGACCGCTGAAACCGACGATGTGGTGAGCGGTTGCTGTCGACATAGGTAGACAGGGATGTCATATGGTGATCGATCTAAAGGTCCTGGTAAGGAGTTTTAATTGCGAAAGCCGCCGTGCATGTTATGTTGGAAACCCTCGCGAAAGTTTTTTTCGAGTTCGCGAAAGTAACAGTATAATTAATTATAATCATTATGTAAAGGGCTGCCACTCACTGCCGCCCGGGGTGCTGCAGGAGAAGGGCACTAGAGAATTTTGGTTTGGTTCTGATTCAGTTCTCTGTGTGGTGGTGCTTGTGGACAAGCACACCCTTCATAGGTAGCAGCCGAGCTTCCAAAGGCGAGGCTTCGCGACAGCCAAACGCCATGGTCAGGACCATCCTTGCACCTGCCGCTGTCACTGCCTAATGATGCTTTTTGCAGTCTCAAGAAACAAGCTCCAAATGCAGCAGCCAAGTTTCCAAAAGTGAGGCTTTGCGAGAGCCAAACACCAAGGCCCCTGGTGTTCGCTTTTCCTTCAATGAACCCCCTGCTGATGGCCGGGGTCTGTGAATAGGGATATTTTCGCGAAAGTCAAAGTGCATGTTGCAGGGGGTGGGCCAGTAAACCTTGCTAGTTGCATGTTTAAAAGGCTATCAAGAAGTGATCCGTGATTCTCTGGCGTAATTTGGCAGGTGGTGAACGAATCTTCATAAGAGGTGTTGTCGGCCAACATGGGCCCCGCGAAAGATTAACATGGAGTTCGCGAAAGTTTCGCGAAAGTATCATTTTTATTCGTGAAGAATGGCCGTTCCCGGATAAAAAAAATTGATCAACCACCATATATATATAATTACATATATATATATATATACATGGTAGACATATAAATATCCGTAGTACCGCACAAGGCAGTGGCGGAAGTGCCAAAAATAGGAAACCTATACGAGAGGTTGGTTGTTGTGAATCACGGCTGGCAGAGCGAATCTACCGATGGTTGACGTTGAGGTCTACTTGCTGGAGATGGGCCAGGTGAAGACTGTGTCAACCGGCAAGGGATCATCGCCACGTCGAGTCCTGGGATTGATTCTTGCAGATGAAAACCTTGTGATTCAGCGTTCGTTGTGGTCTCCATCCGTGGAGAAATTGGAGCCGATGATCATGGAGGCCTACTCCGGTGAAGGGCAAGATGATGAATTCCCTCGGTTGGCATTCGCCGGCTTGGAGCTGTTGGTGAAACCCCCGGCTGTGAACAGTGATGGGCAGCAGTTGTCAACCGTGATGTTGAAGCTACAGAGTTTGCGCAATACAACGTTGAAAGTGATTTGCAAGGGGGTGCCCGCATATCATTCCAAATCCACAGCTGACGATTCGAAGCTTCAACGGCTTCGGGCAGTCCGGTGTCAGCTGCAATTTGGTGGGCACATTGACTGAACTAGATCCTATCCAATTGACTCGTGCCAATGATCCAATGAGGGCCGGCATTTGACGGATGAGCGTGGTGTTGGACTGCGGGTCATGGTGCACGGTGGACTTTGTCATGACGAAGATCTTGTGGTGAACCATCAGTTGTGCCTGTGGTATTGCAGTTCGCAGGAGGGCATCCAGACCAGCCAAGAAGGTGACTTGAGCTGTGGCCACTACTGGCTGTACTCTGATGGTTGGATTTTGAATCTAGGTCCAAGATCTGCCACCATGGTGCGGATTGAGGAGATGAATAGATGTGTGTAGAAGGAGTGTACAGATCTCGAGGTGAGTGGGTGGACCAAGAGTGGTGCCTTTTTTCTATGGTGCTGAACCTTGGCAGCTTCCCGCGCAATCGTAGCTTTGCCACTGTAGATGCAAGTGGAACCCGACAGGTTTTGGACTGACCTTTGCCGAAAAGGTTGGCTTGACTTTTGAATGTGACATGTGCCTGCTCCGAAACGTGTCGAGTGTACAGCCGTCGGTAGCTTTGGGAACGCAGGGAACATTATCTGCACAGCTGTGAAAACAGCAGTGAGTACCCGCCATTTGCGCCTTGTTTGTGTCGGACCATGGGCCGTGGGCCTAAGAATATGAACCCCTGAGACTGGGTTGTTTCATCAGATTTTATGTCATTTTTCTGCGTGCTTGAGAATGCAGATCCCTAACGATCTATGTCATGTCTTCACACGATGTATCAAGGCAGCCTGTGAATAGAACAGCCAACATCTTAGTTGTCCGTGTCAGGTGTTCATGGCTTCATGGCTGTCTAGAAGAGCATCTTCTTTTGGGAGCCACCATGCCGAGAGACTAGGC